GGTTACTTGCTTACTACGAGAGGCGAGTCTTCTCACTATACTTACCTGTGTGGTGATGCATGTATTGACTGGAGGGTCTTATTTGTATTATTGATCGGAGGGTTTTATTTGCTTATACTGAGATATGTGTGTATGCATTCTGTCTTTGTGACTTATGTTGTTATATTATTCTGTGTATATATTGAGTTATGACCGGAGGGTCCATACTGAGATGTGAGACCGGAGGGTCCTTATCGAGATATAGCCATGAGAGGCTAATTATTTGTGCATGTGGTATTTTGAGGAACTCACTAAGCTTCGTGCTTACAATGTTGGTGTAAATGTGTTTCAAGTACATCTCAGGATCGCAGGAAGGCGCCAACATGATTGTACACACTCGTATGCTAATGGGGATATTTGTGGATTCTGGATATTCTGACTTTGTTTTGTGGTGTTAGGTAGTTGAAAAATATAATTGACTTGAGATGGTGTTAAAAACTATGTTTTTTGGGTATTTAAAATTTTGAAAATTTTGGTTGAAAATTTTGAGCGTTACATGATGTGTTCGATTAGTAGTTCTTTGTCATTACAAATCAGAAATCGGGAAACAAAGTAGTGGACAATGATATTGATTATGTTCCATGTTATTTGTCCACATGATATATTGCAGAAGGGAGGATTATATGATCACTTATCTTAGGACACATAACTGACTAGGTCAGAGTTCGACAATGGCTTTGAGAGCTACAATTTGCTGATCAATTTAAAAGGATATACTGGCAACTATAGTTATTCGACTTATCTAAGTGGGAGACTGTTAGATTAGATGTCTAAGCACATAACTATAATTGGTATATAATTAAATTGATAGTAGCATAGTCCTTTTGGGTTGCCCTCAAAACTAGCAACTAGGAAGGATGATTTTGGAGAAAGAGGTTGATTCATTAATTTGATTAATAAATTGAAATAAGTAATTTATTAATATATTATGAGAATAATATATTAATTAGAAATTGAAATATTTAATTAGTATTTAATCAGAAATTAATTAGAATTAATTTTGGGATTAAAATAATTAATTAAAAGTGCAGGGACTGAATTGTAATTGTTCAATAGTTGAGCAAGAGGCAATCTAGAACCCTCCATAGGCTATGGACGGTTTTCCTAGAGCTTTAGGGTTTCTAAAATAGTCTCTAATGGATAATCAGGAAAGTGGATAATTACCCGGTTTAAGATTATCTTGGATGTGGGCTTATCGAGGGTTTCCTATCTGCACTGTAAATAGGGATATAACCCTAATATTTTCGGCCACTTCTTCTTAGACAACTCTAGCCAGAAATTTGCTTCTTCTCCTTCTCCATAATCTTCTTCAATTGCTAGTGTTGGTTGTGAGCCATTAGAGGCATGACAATTGTGACACTTGTTCTCAAAGTCTCAACAACACTAAAGGATTTAGACTGTTATTACTATATAACAATCAAAGGTATGTTTTGTAAACCTAATTATGAAAATTTTGACTAAACGCTAGTGTTTTAGGGTTTCTACATTGTTGTTCACATGGTATGTTCAATTAGAGAAAACGTAGATCAATTTTAGGGTTGCATGCACACATATGATAGTTTTTTATGCTCAAAACCCATCACCTTATTCAAACTTCTACCAGGCATATCATACTATAACACATATGACATATCAATGTGCATAGGTATTTTTGGAATCACTTACTTGGGCTACGACTGATTTTACACATCACATCCTACCCATTAGTTATTTTAAAGTTAAAGCATGAGCTGTATTATGAAAAATATTTTGCAGACACTTAGTTTGAGTCTGGAATCACACAAGTGCTCATCCAATTCTCTTAAACTAGGGCTCTGATACCAACTTGTAACATCCAAAAATTATGACAAAAGTTTCATTTTTCAAAAATCCATTTTTATTGGACTGGATTGCCCCGTCCCACAGCTATCGAACTAGATTGCCCCAGATTTGTTGGCTTACAACACAAAGCAGTACAACCTCAACCCAACCGCACTATGTCGACATATGCAATAGATAACAATAACCAACAAGTATAGGTAATCATACAGACATACCAAATGTAACATATCACTACAACATAACAACATCCTATAAACCAAGATACATAACACAACCTAGTGGGCCGACATTGGTGCCTTCGACCCACGAGTACAGTGAGGAAAACTCACCTCGTAATCTAGCAGATAATCTAATAGCTCCCTCCTGAGATACAAGCTGATATCATGAGTCACCTATAATACAACAAGGAAACTCAATTCCCAGCCTAAAGTCCAACCCATAAGTTGACCAAAAGTCTTCCAAGTCAAAAAGTCAACGCCCACAGTCAACGGTTAAGTCAAAAACCCAAAGGTCCAGATCAACAAGTCGCCACGCCATGACCATCTATTGTCCACATCGTGGCATCATAACGACAAAATAGACGGGTCCTTACCCAGTCGCCATGCCGTGACAACCTAAGGCCACACCGTGGGGACTAATTTGGACAGCTTAAAGTGTTAAGTCGTTTCCCACCAATTCCAAGAGCTTCAAAGCTCATATATGGTCTTTCTTACGGTCTTGATGGATAAAGTTTCCAACTTTATCCATCAATACATCTCAATAAGTCAAGATCCCAAACCCTAAATCATTAAAGGCAACTAAAGGCATATAAACCCCCATTAAGCACTTAATCACTAAAGTTACTATTCCAAAGTTTCCAGAAAGATTTCCTATACCTAATGGACCATAAAAATCATAGCTTTATGGACATGCATGTCCAATGCATGCCCCTTCCATTTTAGGTAAAAAAACATGATAATTATGAACTTAATGCTTGTACATGGGACCCAAAACTCCAAGGATCCCCATATATGGAAAATATCACACTAAGATGACCACAAGGATCCATAAATTTGCCAACTTTATGAAGTCTAACCTTCCAAACTTCCAAACCATGAAGATTAGGGACAAAAGCGCTAGATCTAGAAGCAAGTAACATAAAAATCGGATATTGAGGACTTACAAAAGTCAAGAAAACATGCACAAGGAGGATGAGGAGAGTTGCTTGCTGAAACAAACCTCAAGGGCACCTTCTTATTCTTCAAAACACCACCAAACACCACAAAAGTTCAAGAGTTACCAAAGTAGGCTATGGTTTGCTTTGTGGAGTTTGGATGAGAGTGTTAGAGGCTGATAAGGAACCCTAGATTTAAGATAATGAGGTTTAAATACGAAGGAAGCCCTAAAAGATCATCGGATTGGGTCAGAATAGATGTCATGCCGTGACCATACTACCGCCACGCCGTTGTACTCATTAAAGATGTGCGGTTTCAAACCAAATTGCCACGTCGTGGCCAGCTAGATTTTTCAAAATATATACTCCCTCCGTCCCAAAATTATTGTCCACATTTGACTTTTTAAGTCTCTTTTGTTCAACTTTGACCTTAAATAATTTACTTTTTGTTATATAATTCTTTATGCAAGATATATGAATATATTGTTTTTTTAAATGTTTTTTCATTGTTATAAGTTTCATCAAAAATTATATAACACAAATAAAGTTATTTATGGTCAAAGTTGACATGTAAAGACTTCAAAAGCCAAACGTGGACAATAATTTTGGGACGGAGGGAGTATTATTTTATCATACAATTCACACCTCAAAAATTCAGATGTTACAAAATTTATGGGCATGCATGCCCCATGCATGTCCTTTCCCAAATATAGGTTAAAAGATGCAATATGACCACAAATCCATGCAAGGTCCCCAAATCAAAACCACATCCTAGATATATGAGATATAATGCTCTTAGGATTCAGAGAGATAATAAAGTTGCAAAATTTATCTCTTATACTCATCCCATCTCCACAAATGGGGGCAAGATAAGGCATAAAACCTAGATCTAAGAGGCATACAACAAAAAGATGAGAGTTTGAGGACTTATAAGAAGTCCAAAAGCTATACACAAAGATGACGAGGGGTTTCTTGGATAAACTATGCACCGATTCTTCTTGTCATTCCTTCAAAACCACCACCAAATTTCAAAAGTGAGTTCAAAAGCCTCAAGAGGGCTAGGGTTTGGCCAAAGGGGCGTTTGGAGGTGATGAAGGTTGATGGTGAAGGAAACCGTAGCCCCTCACTTCATTTAAATATGGTCCAAGTCCTAAATTAAGGTTTTGCATTTGATTAGGTGCCACGCCGTCACACATAAAAGATCCTTCCCGAAAGGCGCGACCATGTCACGACGTGACGGTGCTTCCCTCACGTCCTGACCCCCCCCCCCCCACAAAAAAATCACATTATACTTCACATTTTCATCATCAGTAATCCGAATGTTACAAAAGGGTAAAGTTGAATAAAATATGAAATGCTGATGTGGTAGTGATGTTTTCAATGGATTGCGGATGCTCTTAGGTCTTGGGGGTATAGTTCCCACACCAATGAGGTGTGGGTTTCTTATACCTCAACGAAAACCACCACCATATTAACGATGAAGTACTCCCCATATAAAATTCACGAGCGTTGAAGAGAGAAAGCAGAGTGAGGAAAAGAACAACTTGTGGTACGACGATGGTGCATACCACATCATGCCACAACCATGGCTCGAGCTAAGCACTACACCACCCCATGATGGTTTGCACAATTGCACCCTCCTCCGTCTCATTGTCACATCACCGGCTTGATGAATATATCGTTTGACCTTATATACAATGGGAACCAAAATGTTAAAACACTACCGCAAAAAATCCATTATCTCACATGAACGAAAAAAAATAATACAAAGACCATTTTTGCATTTACTCTGCAAATTAACTAAGCCAATTTATAAAGCATACTTACTAATAACAAATGACACTGAACGTAAATTAAATTATTAACGTAGTTGATATCTTTTATTTAGAATATTTATTTATGAATACTTAAAGAGATTATATGGAATAGTGATAATAAATTTAATAATATAGACTATTTTTTTTTAATAAAAAGAGTCGCAAGAATAAATTAATTTTTGAAAGAATGAATAGTAGCCTCGTCGACCTTGGTTCAAGCCCGGCGGTGTTTCTTTTCCATAGCCTCGTCAATCTTCGATCCTAAGAAACCGACCTACGTCTTCCTTCCTCCATTTTCTATCTCCTTTTTCTCCCATTTCCATTTCTCAAAAAAGCGACAAAGCTGCACTGAGATATCCTGACGAATTAGGGCTAATCGTTTTCGCATAATTCGATTTGATCTCTCTGTGTTTCGACAATGGCGGGGAGGTCGAGATCATCGATGACGATGACCGTCACAAACACGCCGGCCAAAGATCTCGCGTATACGAATTGCGCATATGTTTCCCCTTCCGATTTTCGTCAATTTGCTGTTCCTGGATCCAATCTCGCTCTCGCACTTGTTGGTGACGTGTTCGTTCTGTCTATAGCATATCCTTCTCATATTAATCGTATAAGCAAATATTATATGTGAAATGGTGATTATTGAATTTCGTGATGCTTGAAATTTTCTGAAATTGGATGATTGTCTGTTCGTTATAGGCATTTCTCATTAGACATAACTGATTGGATACAACCTATGAATGGTAATACTTCTAAACATGACAAAGTTTACTGTTCCGCTACTCCTCTGTCTTTGGATCTCTCTCTCTCCATTTTCGATTTTACAGGTGAAAGAGAACGACGAAAAGTTTCATTTCTTTAACTGTGCAACCTTAATGTTTGACCCCACGTAGTATACTATTCCGCTACTCCTCTAGTAGTCTCTGTTCTAAATAGCGTAGGCTGTGGCCTTTTATCTGTGGATTGACTGTTTTTTGTGATTGTTTGAGCTAGACAGTTAGTTAAACAATTAAGAATGTAGATTTTACTGATCATATCCTACAACTTCAGTTACATAAAGTGATTACTAGGTATTAATTATTTGTTTAATTGTATAATACCGTATGTGAAATTGTGAATTGTTGCTACTGCTGTCACCTTGTAATTCTGTTATGAGGAAGATCTTGTTTGTGCTAAATGTTTTAGCTGTAACATCTGCTGATAGCTGTTAGATTGGATTTGTTCACATTAAGTTCATGTTCATTGGATCTTTTATAGATCACTTGAACAACTGGAACTGGTAAGAAATTGGTAATTCTCTAGCTCTTGTTTCCATATAGATACTTTGGGACTTTTGGTTCCTTGTTCTTAGGGAATTTTGTCAATCAAATTGAACTAGCTTCCTAGAACCTTGGTCATATTTAGCTCTGTAAAATCTTACTGGTGTTTGTGCTTTATAGTTGAGAATCCCTGATTCCCTGTTTATATGTTTTAGTGATCTGTTTGAGCATTAAATAACTACTGTTATCATGTTATCCATAAGAAAACAATTTACTGTTTCTCTTAACCAAAACAAACTGCCTACGATACCATACAAAGTGGGCAAATTGGTCTTAATGCCATCCAACGACGCCATGCAAGAGTTTCTACTGGAGATCCAGTATCTGTTAGCAGGTATATGTTTTATACTTAGTCTACTGTAGGAACTAAATATGTTTTAGCACTTTACAAATCCCTTTTGCCAACTATTTCAGGTTTGTCCCACCTGAAGATTTCAACATTGCCTTACTTACCCTCGAGTTGGAATTTGTAAAGAAAGGGAACAAAGAAGAACAGGTACATCTCCTACTTTTAACTTCTTGCTTTGAGATTACATGTTCCCATTACTAAATTTTGATCCTTTTTGTATTTTGCAGGTTGATGCTATTGTTTTAGCTCAAAAGATACGTGAAAGATTTATAAACCAGGTTATGACAGCTGGACAAAGGGTGACTTTTGAGTTTATCGGCAATGGTTATATCTTCACAGTCACCCAAGTTGCTGTGGAAGGTCAAGACAAAACAGACATTGAAAGAGGCATGCTTTCATCTGATTCATACATTGTCTTTGAAGCCTCAAACTCTAGTGGAATAAAGGTATTATTTTTTCTGAATGACTCTTCAATAAAATAGTAAAATACCCATGTGTTTGTTTGTTGTTCAATAACTTTTTTCTTTATTTTCAGATAATGAATCAACGTGAGGCTGCTAGCAGCAATATCTTCAGACACAAGGAGTTTAACCTTCAATCATTGGGCATAGGTGGTTTGAGCAATGAATTTGCAGATATCTTTAGAAGAGCTTTTGCCTCTAGGGTTTTCCCTCCACATGTGGCAAGCAAGTAATGCCCTATTATTCTATCAATATCTCATATATATAAACATTTTCTTTGAAATATTCTTATGAATTTTTATGTGTCAGATTGGGTGTAAAGCATGTTAAGGGAATGCTGTTATATGGTCCACCTGGCACTGGGAAGACTCTAATGGCTCGTCAAATTGGAAAGATGTTAAATGGAAGAGACCCAAAGGTACTTTATTTTACATTGAAAACATATTGGAAATAAAAAGATTATTAATTTTTGGTTGATTTCACAAATTAGATTGTAAATGGGCCTGAAGTGTTGAGTAAATTTGTTGGTGAGACTGAGAAAAATGTAAGGGACTTATTTGCTGATGCTGAACAAGATCAAAGATCACGAGGTAGGATTAAAAAATCTTGACTTTTATACAAGTTTGTTTCTTTTTTTTTTTTTTTTTTTTTTTTTTTAATACCTTTTTGTTCATATTTTTCCAGGGGATCAAAGTGACTTACATGTCATCATTTTCGATGAAATTGATGCAATTTGCAAGGTATGTCAATCCCATATTATAATAATCTGACATTGCATTTTATTTTTTAATTTTCATTTTCAAATATTCATCATAATCTATTTTTCTAAATTTGCAGTCTAGAGGTTCTACTAGGGATGGGACAGGGGTGCATGATAGCATTGTGAATCAGCTCCTTACAAAGGTTTGACCAACCATTTAAAGTCAAACTGTATAATCAACAAAAAGGAATTAAATTAACACTGAATTTCAAAAATCCATTTTTTAGATAGATGGTGTGGAAGCACTGAACAATGTGTTGCTCATTGGTATGACAAACAGAAAGGATCTGCTAAGCTCTTTTGAGGTGAGTCCATTAAAAAAATCTTGTTAACTAACTTTTAGTCCTTTACCATGTTTGCTGATGTGTCATCTCCTAATTGGCTAGGCCTGGTCGTTTAGAAGTCCAAGTGGAAATCAGCCTTCCAGATGAAAATGGTCGTCTCCAAATTCTTCAAATTCATACAAACAAGATGAAAGAGAATTCTTTTCTAGCTCCAGATGTCAACTTACAAGAACTTGGTATGTATGTTATTTACAGAAATGATAAATATTTATAAAATTATATGTAATGATTTGTATTTTCATGGTTTATAGCTGCAAGAACAAAGAACTACAGTGGAGCAGAACTTGAAGGTGTGGTGAAAAGTGCAGTTTCTTATGCTCTGAATCGCCAGCTCAGCCTTGATGATCTTACCAAAAAAGTAGATGAGGAAAGCATAAAAGTCACCATGGATGATTTCTTGAATGCTCTTCATGAAGTTATTCCTGCATTTGGTGCTTCCATGGATGGCCTTGAACGTTGCAGGTATAACAATTATCTAAACTTCTTCCTTTTTTTTTAATATATATTTTCTAATAAATAAAAATGATGCAGACTGAATGGAATAGTTGACTGTGGTCAGAAACATGATCACATCTTCAAAAGAACAATGCTATTAGCAGAACAAGTTAAAGTTAGCAGAGGTAGTCCACTTGTCACAGTTCTTCTAGAAGGTCCTAGTGGCAGTGGTAAGACTGCAATGGCAGCTACTGTTGGTATTGGTAGTGATTTCCCCTATGTGAAAATCGTAAGTGTTTTTATTTTTTTATTTTATAAAATCCAATTTATTCACTTAATAAAATTCATATTATCACTCTCTAAAATGGTAGATTTCGGCTGAATCAATGATTGGCATCAGTGAAGCCAGTAAATGTGCACAGATTGTCAAGGTTTTATTTATTTATTTACTTTTGTCTCAGTTATTCTATGTTATATTACTTGAGTTGTTTCTCATGAGAACACTTTTTATTAATAGGTATTTGAGGATGCTTACAAGTCAACACTGAGCATTATTATCCTTGATGATATCGAAAGGTAATTTAAATATTTAATCATATTGTCACGATTCCAATCTCTATAGTTATTGCTTATTAATCTATTTATTATTTAATTAATACAGACTATTGGAATATGTTGCTCTTGGACCTCGTTTTTCAAACTTGATTTCTCAGACATTGATGGTCCTCCTCAAACGCCTTCCTCCCAAGGTTCTCCTTCTTATCTTGTTACTGGATCATATCCATAGGGGTAATTTTGGAAAATTAAAAAATTGGTATGGTCTTGTCACTTTTTTACATTCAGGGTAAAAATATGCTGGTTATTGGAACAACAAGCGAGGTGACCTTCTTGGAGTCGGTTGGCCTTTGTGATGCTTTCTCAGTCACCTACCATGTTCCTACATTGAAAACCGAAGATGCTAAAAAGGTAATAATTTACTAATTTGTCCTTATTCTTCTTATATAATTATATGTTTGTTGTTGTTTTTTTTTCAGGTATTGCAACAACTTAAAGTGTTCTCGGAGGATGATGTGGATTCTGCCGCTGAGGCTCTTAATGATGTAAGATTCTTTTTTAAATATTTTAATTTGATTACAAAAACATTTAAATATTTTTGTTTTTGTTGGTGTTGTAGATGCCGATCAAGAGGCTGTATATGGTGGTGGAGATGGCGGCACAGGGAGAATCCGGTGGAAGTGCGGAAGCTATTTATGCTGGAAAGGAAACAATTCAAATCTCACATTTCTATGAGTGCCTACAAGATATTGTCCGCTACTAGCCTTGTGGGGAGTACACTCTTTTCTTCCTCTTCATATATATATATATATATATATATATATATATATATATATATATATATATATATATATATATATATATATATATATATATATAGACCTGGTTTTGATTTGTATGGAAAACTGGAGTTTTGTTTTGTGTTTATTTATTTTTTCCCTACATTTGTTTTGGGTTATAGCAACCACGGGACAATTTGACAGCAGAGTTTAGTAATACTTTCTTTGTGTGAGAATGTGTAGCAGACTGATTGATAGCTTCTAATTTGTATGCGTTGACTGTTATTGGTTTTAAGAGGTGGAATTTTGGTACAAGTTGAACACATACCAGTGGACCACATTTGACACCTTTTAAATTAACCGAAACTCCACGACTAAAGGAGCAAAAAAAGAAAAAAAAAATTACTGACCCCATATTTATATCGTTCTTGTCAATTTTAAATTTTTATACAATTATTGTACTTTGGTTGAATTAGATTAACATGTTTGCCTCTTTGGTGTACTTATGGTAAATATCATTTAGTTTATATTGAATCCAAAATACAAATTCAGACCGGAAACATCATTTTATTTATTTAAATCAATTGTAGGAAAATATCCCATATTTTGCTACCCAAAGCCTTACTTGGAATGAAGACGACACCATATGCGAGTATGCACTTTTTTATGGATAAGCTACATTTTTTCTCTTTTAAATCCTATGCTTCCATAGGCGGAAGGCTATAAGGGCCTTGGGGGGGCATGGCTTCCATACGCTTTCGGCTTATAAGCATTATATTAATATAAAATATGGTTTCTAATAATTATTAGTGTAGTATCAATTTATTACAGCATTCATTTCTTTTACAGCGATGTGGGTCTACCACTTTCCACTTCTCTTTTTAGACCACACCTTCATTCTCTCTTTTTATCTCTCCAAACCAGGGGATCTGTATCTACACCCCTTCCCTAATATCTCATTTTCTAATTTGCATTTAATCCACATTTCAAATATAAATAGGCTAAGATAGTATTGATAACTGATAACTATGGATAGTAGAAGGGCAGCAGATTCATTTATTCCACAAGAAAAAAAACAATTGCAACAAAATGTTTAGTTTTAATTTTAGAAATATTTTTTCTGATCAACGAAATAGTAAAAATGAAACCTTTTAAATATTTTACAATTGTATGTCTTAACGAGATGAAGCTAGTTGATCAAGAAAACCATTGATAACCAAAAATATGTTTCTCTCTTAAAGTTGGGCATGATTGATATACATTTTTCAAATTCAATAGACATATCAGTTAGATCCAAATTCAATAAAATATTTTATATCATGTTATATTTATAAAGATGATCGTTTATGTTTGTGAGTTTTATTGAACAGATTGATTGAAGATTGGGTTAGAGCTTGTTTAATAAAGTAGCCCCAAATTAAGCTTGATCTCCAGTCAAACATTAAATGAATCGATCTGAATAGCTCATTGGTAGCTTGCAACTTGTTCACACCCCTATGTATAGTGTTCTTGTTATTGAATTTTTGAATGGTTTGTTGCCTTGTTGGTTTTGTATATGGTTCCAAACTTCTTGTTTTGGCCCCCTAGTTCTATTGCTCATGTTCTACCAATTTATGTCCATCAATGATGGTCTAACGATCATCACTCCCTCGGGTATCACCCACTTAGACACATAATAGGTGAATCGCATGGACGATTGCTTCATCGGGGATCTCCCATCAATGGTGGTCTAACAACATTAATACGATTTGTATAACGACATGAATTTATTGAATTAACAAATAACATTTTTTTCTTAAAAGTACCAAATGACAATATATATATATATATATATATATATATATATATTTTTTTTTTCAAAATACCAAATGGCAATATATTCCCATTCTTTAAAAGTACCGGAAGACATTATGAGAAGTTATAGAAAAAAATAACATTAAATAATTTAATGGTAAGAGGTTGAATTGTCGGTAAAAATATATATATGGTTGACAACAAGAGTTGATGGTTTGTTGCAACCGTATGTGAATTGGACAAATAAGGATGAACATTCTCATAGGCTTTCATGATCATGATGAAAATAAGGAAAATGAAGATATAGTGCCTAGTAGACAACTCAAGCGATGTCAGCAGATGTTGATTCGTCCCATTGAAGTGGTTGAATCAATAGAGAAAAAACGTATGTATGCTAAAATTAGAACCCGTTAGTAGATTTACTATACGTTGAAAACGTATGCACCAATTTTAAACAGTTACAGACCGCTGATTAGAATATCCATATTCAGTACCATAGAATCACAATTCACTTAAATAAATATTATAACATTTTCTCATGAATAACAATTATGGCTCGAGAGTATATAGCAAGTATTTATAATTGTTTGTCTTTGAAATGAAAAAGCTCTCATAATCGATTTTTCAGTTTCCTATTTAACTCAATAAACCTAAAAAAAAACTCATATTATGAAACAAGTAAGATACCAAGATATGTAGATTCGGTTCCACTAGTTTTAAAGTTCATATGGAAATAATATCTTACAACTTCCATATTGGAAACAAAAATTATTAATTTAAAATTTATTTCATATAACTTTTAAAAGCTTACATTTCTATACAAATTAAAACTATATCGTCCGGCTTACCAACTAATTTTGCTTATAAAGTCGTCTATTTAACGCGTATTGAAAAATTGAAAAAAGATCAAACTTGATGAAGAAGGAAAAAAAGTAGCTTAAACCGTTGAGTTTGGTAGTGCCAATCTGACACCGATTTCCATATTTATGTTAGAATCAAACCAATACGAACCCTCCACGTGGACACGACAGAGTGGTTAACCACTACCAAACCCACGAAAAACAGGCCAACGATTCCTTCTCCTCTGCCCCAAAATCCCCAAATCCAATCTCTACTTTTGTCACTAACAAGTCTAGAGAGAGAAAGACGATGACAGTGAGCATTTGTCGCCATTAATAAAGCTCCCACACTCAATCTTCGCTTTCCATTTCCCCAATTTCCTTCTTCTTTCTTCTTCTTCTTCTTTTGTTTCATTAAATTCAGTTTACAGGTTTTATGTGATCGATTACCCATGTCCTAAAACTCGAATCTTCGTACCTTCGAGCTTAAATAATTGAAACCCCTTTTCGAAACATGTTCTTCGCTTTCCCCAATTGCTAATTCACCACATTTCTACACCGTTTCTTTTCTTCGAAATTCGATTTTGGTGGCCGTTTTGTTGCATCTGATGTTTAGTTTCGACTCATCTTATCATCAAACACCAATCAACTCTTCATCCAGCTCAATCCCTTCAAATTTCCTTCACCCCACATATTCCTGCTCTTTTTCCCGTTTGAATTTCATCAAATTCCGCCTAAAAATCTGATCTTTTTTTCTCGATTTGAGAAATGGGAGATCGATTAAGGTCAGCCACGTTCGATGACTTACCATCGCATTTGATTCTCGAAATCTTGACATCCGGAGCCCGACTGGGCGGGTCGGATCTCGTCTGTTTGGAGCTTACTAATACAACTTTTCGAGGTACCCATGGATTGGTCCCTCACAAGTTAAGATCTTTGGTTGACTTTGCAGCTTTTCAGCTTTCTGGGTCACATCCGATATACGTTTCCTTGAGTTATAGAGCTCAAGAAGAACTGTTAGCTCGATGCAGTGGTAACTGGAAGAAGGTTTTGAGATTCTTGCAATCAGTCCACCAGTCTTCCGACATCGTTGAAACCTCTTCAGGGAATGTATGATTGTATATATCCCTCTTTGTTATATGTTCTTCTTACTATTTTCATGATTACTTGATACTTAATCTATCTTTCTTACAGATGCAAATCAGAAGCGGAAGGTATCACACATTACTGATCAAAGATTCAAAAATCTACTCTTGTGGTTCGAGTTTATGTGGTGTTCTTGGTCATGGACCCGAAACAACAAATTGTGTAGCTTTCACTCCGATCAAATTCCCATATCCTGTCAATGTCACCCACGTTTCAGCCTCACATAATCATGCTGCATTCGTCGCAAAATCGGGAGAGGTTTCTAAATACTTTCTATACTTCTCTATCTTCATTTTTTTCAAGACTCTTAATCGTTATACAAACTATAAAATGTTTGTAGGTTTTCACATGTGGTGATAATTCATCGTTTTGTTGTGGGCATAGTGATACAAATCGACCAATATTCAAGCCAAGGCTAGTTGAAGCACTAAAGAATGTTCCATGTAAGCAGGTTGCTGCTGGGGTTAGTTTCACTGTGTTTCTTACAACAGAAGGTCAAATCTACACATGTGGGACCAGTGGACATGGTCAACTCGGCCATGGTGACACCCTGGACAGACCCACACCGAAACTGGTCGAACCGGTTGGACCCATCGGTTCGGTTGTTCAGATAGCCGCGGGTCCAAGCTACACCCTTGTGGTTACTAACGATGGAGGTGTTTATTCGTTTGGGTCTGGTTCGAATTTCTGTCTTGGCCATGGTGAACAGCATAATGAACTCCGCCCTCGTGTGATTCAGTCTTTCAGGCGGAATGGAATCCATGTTGTTCGTGTTTCCGCTGGTGATGAACATGTGGTCGCACTTGATTCCAACGGATTCGTAATTCCATTCCACCCTTCTTGTGTTAAATCGCCGTCTTTCTAGCCTTGAAGTTGATTACATAAATGGGTTTTTTTTAGGTTTACACATGGGGAAAAGGCTACTGTGGTGCACTTGGACATGGTGATGAGATCGATAAGACCACTCCCGCCCTCCTAACCAGCCTCAAGAATCACCTCGCTGTACAGGTTCGATTTTGACCTAGAACTTATCTCAATAAGACAAAAATTACAAATGCAGCCATGAACACTATTACAATTACTACAGGTCTCATTTTGTTGGAGCTTATATGTAAAATTCAGTGTCGAATTGGATTTTTTTTGTGGTTATAGGTGTGTGCAAGCAAGAGGAAAACGTTTGTGTTGATGGATAGTGGATGTTTATATGGATTTGGATGGATGGCATTTGGAAGTTTAGGGTTTCCAGATAGGGATGTATCTGATAAAGTGTTGAAGCCTAGTATGCTTTATAGTTTAAAAGATCATCATATATGTCAGGTGAGTACGGGTTTGTATCACTCGGTTGTGGTTACGAATCGAGGTCGGATATTTGGATTTGGGGACAATGAGAGAGCACAACTTGGGCATGATGAATTGCGGGGTTGTCTCCACCCGACTGAAATCTTGGTTGAAGAATAACTGAAAATGGTGGATTTTAGATAGTTATTGGGTTTGTTTATGTTTGATGTTATTGTAATAAAACCAATTGTTATAATTAAAAATTTGTATAAGACTAAATGCTAGGTAGATTTTTCCTCTATCACCTATATCGGATTAATTGACCATCTAGAATCGTAATTAGAAAGAATTTGAAAATCATGGTAGATTCAAACTAATGTGATAAGTTGATATCTTATATAGTAGATAGGGTGAGCACGGTACCGAAAATGTACCGGTACCAAAACCAAAAATTCGATTTTCTAGGAATTAAGTATCAAAATGATAGTTACTATATGATAATACGATTACCCGTTTGATTCCCGTACATGTATTGATTAATGATACCAATTCCATTTTATTATCGATTTTATGTGTGCAACACCACATGTTTGAGGTTATATTGATATGCAATTAAGACAACAAAGAACACATCGCAAAAAGAATTACTCCAATCCAAGTTCATATAAGAGATTTATAGGAGTTCATAGTTGATGAAATTTTCTGGTAAGAAAAAATGACTGTCTAAAACGTTTAAGTTTTTAAATACCCATGTTTAGGGATATATAACTCATTCATTTGATTCTTTCGGCCTAACATGTAGCCAAGAGAGAGAGAGAGAGAGAAAAAAAAAATGCAAGAAAAAAAAATTAGTCTGATCCAAGTTTATATGAAGGAGTTATGAGTGTTCATAGATGAGGGAAAATTATGCATGGGTCTAACTAGAAAAAATGACCTAAGTTCGAAAAAAAATTAAGTTTTAAGTTACCATGTTTAGGGTTATGTTAGCTTAGATTATACTTATCCAAATCACTTGATACTTGAACTAACATGAAACCAAGACGAAGAAGAAATACAAAAATAAAAATAAAAAATTGATACAATCTAAATTCATATGAGAGAGTTATGAATGTTTAAAATTGAGGAAAAACATAAAATATAAAAACATAAATTCTGATTCAGTTCCAATTTTTACCTGAACCGAATGACACAAGACTTGATAACGCCCTGATAACCGAAAATCATGAATTAGGGGAACTAAGTATTGACCCGAAAAAACTATATTGTACCGGTTTGGTTTGATATCGCTTTTTTTTTTGCCTCACCCCTCATAGTAGATATGATATTTTTGGTGAATTGGATTCGATGTAGTTATCGTCAAAAAATGTATTCTATAAAACAATTGGTTTTTTGAAGTTTAAACATGTTTCGTTAGAAAACTAATTTACTTAAATTAATAATTTATTTTCTTTTTCTCAAAGCCCCGATTGAATCCTTTTTTTCAAAGCCAGTGGAACCATGGTGAAATCCGTCTTTCTTGATCCTAGTGTTGTAAGACAGGTAAATGCCACGCAAATTGTTCTTATTCCTAAGGCTCCGACCATAAAAGTGATATTTGAAATAGAAATCGACTCAAAAGTAACAGAATAGGCTTGAGAGAAGCTCTTTCCAAATAGGTCGAGTAGCCAATGAAAAGGAGCTCTCTGGTTGGGATTTACATGCACAACCTTCTCCTATGAGTCAGCCTATGTTATACGCCTGCCTTTGAGAACCTTTGAACTATAAATAAAGATAAATTCTATTAAAGAAACCATTATTTTTGGCACATCTTTTTGGTTAAACATAAATTCAAGTTCGGGTTGGTTTGGTTTCTAGGCACCGACTAATTCTATTTGAAATTTCCAGAAAATACTTTTAGCTCTCTTTATATCAAAAATCTCTTACTTATTTCTTTGTTTAACCTAATTGATTAAAAGCTGAGAAAACGAGTGTATTACTATTAAAGTTTGGTTTGGCAAAAAACAAAATCTTGAACATTTAAAGGTTTTCGGCTGTGCTTCTTTTTCCAAAATTGTTGGCGGTCATTTGAAGAAACTTCAGATCGAAATAAAAAAATGGTGTATTTTGGGGTAAAAGATGGAACTAAAGAGAAGCGATTATTTGATCCAGTCCCAAAAAACCGGAAATTATGGGTTAGTCGCGATGTTTTTTGTTGAAAAAGAATGATGAAATTGGTACAAAAACAAGGAGAAGATAATAATGCAACTCCTACAACCTTTACAACAATGGAACTGGACATCTTCGGAGTCAACCCGAACCATCTGGACAACCCCGCACTCAACCGTGAGCGTCCGAAAAACCCCAGAAACTGTGTTGCCCAAACTGAACAACCCTATGTTGAACGAATCCATCCCGAAACAACCCAATATACTCTTATTTTAGCCCCCGTTTTCTTCAACTTAAACTGATACAAAAAATCTTCAAGAGATATTAAACCTAAAAGAATCTGATCGCTAGCCAATATCATATATACTTTTTATTATTTTTGTTTACCTTTGCTTTTGTCGGAGGTCTTCTACGGAAGTAGTTTTCACAAATCAAGTTTTTAAAATACAATTTCAGTCCTTTAACTAGGTTTGCTTAATATAAGTTAATTACTTTAATATATTCTTTCATTTTAGTTCTTTTTACTATTTATTTATTTATTCATTTTATTTCATTAAGTTCTAAAACCATTTTATGTCCTTAAATCTCTTTTAATTGATTAAAATATTAATTAATCTCTATCTTTATTTATTTTATAATCCTTAAAATCCTAAGGCTAATTAACCGAAATAAATAATTATTTGGAAAGATTAATATCTAGAAATGAAAATTGGGTGTTACAACTATTTTCTACTTACAATAATTTCGTCCTCGAAATTACTGATCCTCAAAAATACTTCTGACACTACTAGTCATCAAACTATATATTTCTTTGTCTCTTATGTCTACATTAGCTTTTATACTAAGTAGTTACTTGAAGTCCTTTATTAAATCTCAACTTGATTTATGGTAATCTCGTCCATGCTTTTACACGTACTTGAACTCTTAACTGTAATCGTCTGCCTCTTGCTGTAACACCTCGTTTTCATTTTTTGAGATAAAAATATATAAACAATTGTTTATAAAAAATTGAAAATATATTGCTTTTTAGCTAAAATGATCAACATGAAAGTTGTATTATCCGTCAAGACGAACGCGTGGGTATAAAGAACGTCGAAAACAGAGTTCGTATGAAGTTATGATTTTTATAAATTTTCACAAATTTTATAAAAATCCCCACGACACGGTGCATTTAATGCACTGACTCCACTAGTCCGACGTTGCATGCAAGCAAGATGAAGTATGTTCGGATGCAGTCCGTGACGCGGTGGCCAGTTTTCAGCCCTATATAAATAGAGGCTCAAGCCTCTTCCATCTCTTGCACCAATTCATATCTCTCTCTCCCTCTTGAGATTTTGTTCCCTCATAATTCGACTTCGTGTTCTATGATATAGTTAGCGAAGCTCTGGAGGCTTTTGAAAGGATCCTTAAGAGAAGTATCAAGCGTAGAAGTTACGCTCTCCATGTCCGAATTATTCGTCAATTGGGTAAGTTATGCATTTGATTAAGTATAACTTGATATGGAGTATACATATTGTCGTTATTATGAACATGTGAATTAGATTAATCATTAATCCCCATTAATATAGTGATTGATCTACTTACGAGAGTAGTGTCTAGGATAGATACGTTGGCTAAATTGTTGGATTTCAAAAAGACTATATGTTGTAATGATCCTGCCTCCCGACTGTCTTGACTGACTAATCCTTATTTGATAGGCATTTCAGTATTTATGGGGACCGTGAAGGATCTAGATACTAGTTATCATATTTTTATAGTTATTGATCAGTTATGGTATTATAGATTAATACATGTTTGGCGTATTGCTTGCTAGTTGGTTTAGTGATAGTTATTCGAGTAACTGTTCAGGTGAGTTTTCTCACTATACTGTAAGACACTGGTGTCATGTATGCTTGTTGTCTTTGTGACTCATGCTTGTATGCTTTTGGGTCAGGCCCGCTTATATTTTGTTGGGTTGTGCCTGTTTATATAATGTCGGGGTCGGCCCATTAGGCTGGGCCCGCATGACTAAAACATAACTATTAGGCTAGGCCCTTTATTGTATGATATGTGGTATCTTGGTGAAGTCACTAAGGTTCGTGCTTACGATTTTAAGTTTAAATGTTTGAGGTTCTTCTGGTAGTAAAGGGAAGGGCACGACATGATTGCATCACATCTGCTTTTAATCGTTATACAAAATCTGTAACTATAAAATGTTTGTAGGTTTTCACATGTGGTGATAATTCATCATTTTGTTGTGGGAATATTGATACAAATCGACTAATATTCAAGCCAAGGCTAGTTGAAGCATTAAAGGATGTTCCATGCAAGCAAGATGTTGTTGGGGTTATCTTACAGTATTTTTGACACAAAAGGTAAAGTCTATACATGTGGGACTAGTGGACATGATCAAATCAGTCATGGTGACACCATGGACAGACCCACACCGAAACTGGTCGAATCGGTTGGAACCATAGATTCGATTGTTCAGATAGTTGTGGTTCCAAGCTACACCCTTGCGTTTACTAATGATGGAGGTATTTCTTATTTGGGTCCAGTTCCAATTTCTGTCTTGGCCATGGTGAACAACATAATGAACTCCGCCCTCGTATGATTCTGTCTTTCAGGCGGAAAGGTATCCATGTTGTTCGTATTTCTGCTGGTGATGAACATGTGATTACACTTGATTCCAATAGATTCGTAATTCCATTCGTCCATTCTCTTGTTCGATATCTTTCTAGTCTTGACGTAAATTATTACATAAATGGGCTTTTTTGGGGAAAGAGGCCACAACCCCGACAAAGATAAATGGGCTTTTTAGGTTTATGTATGGGGAAAAGGCTACTTTGGTGCACTTGGACATGGTGATGGGATTGATAAGACCATCCTAGCTCCTAAACAGCCTCAAGAATCATCCTGTTGTACATGTTCAATTTTTTTCTTGTTACCTTTCTAATCAAAGGAACCACCTTTAAGATTTGATTAAATGTGTTGTATTGTATTGTGTTTTGCGTGCATTGGATCTCAGTAAGAAAAAAAATTGCAATTTTTTTTGTGTATCCAAGACACTGGCATATGTCATTACTCCAAACATAAATAAATAAGAACATAAAATATGCGTGTAAAACTCCAAAACCGTAGAAGAACGACGACCTGTGGATAAAAAAAATATCCACTATATGTTATATTGTT